TTGATGTTTAACTGATTTATTCTAAAAATTATATAAAACTATTACATTAATTTTCTAATTATGCTCATATTGAACTTTATTTTAACATAAATTCCATTGTATTACAGTTATATGCTTGCACTATTTATATAGCATTAAATAAATTCTATAACTTATCTGACCATATATCAGAATTATATTCAATAAATATTTCATAATTATAACCAAATAGTTGTTCAAATTTGTAGTAATGTTTGGTTTTATGGCACAGATATTTATATATATTTTATATAATTCATATGAATGGAAAACATTGACAGTGAATGTCATATTTTAATTTATTACACGTTAAGCGATAATTTTACACTTCTATAAAAAAGTTTATTAAATATTATTTTAAGAATTAACGGTTATTAGGCATTTGATTGTATTTGAAAACTTTGTTTAATTGTATTTCCCATAATAAATATATTTATATGTGTAATTTCTTATAATATTGTGTGAACTTAATAATATATATGTCCATATAATAAACTATAGTATATGTGCTTATAATAATAAACTACTAGTATTTTATAATTAAAGAACATAATTATTAATAATTATTCTAAAATATAATTTACCTAAAATTATATAAATAATAAATTGATGATCAAATGGACACATGTATGCTATTTGGACGGCACTCTACTTCATCGACAGAGCGTATGATTCTCTCTCTATATATATCTATATATCGAGTTTTGGGATCATTTCCAACAGAAGTGCAATATTTGAGTGGAGAAGAGCTGCTATTTTATATCTGATAAATACTGCTCTGTTGGCCATTATATGATTCCAGAGCTATCACTGTTTGTGATGACCTTTTTTATGGCATCCATATTACACATCGAGTCCAATATTGTCTGTGCCCTATCTCTTAATGTATCACAATATTGTTGTCCACCGCTTATAATGAGAACCATTGCATTGGTAGTCACATAGACTGCATATAGAGCTAACTTTACATCTATTCTTCACATATAGCATTCAAGTCCTTCGTTCAACCAATGGAAACAACAATTTTCATGCTTAAACATACACTAAATAATGTGATTAATTTAATAATTAAAAGTAACTGAGAGTACCAAGTTTCATATAGTTTAATATTTTTTATTTTTAACAATGATTCAATGATAAGTTAGTTAATGTGAGACATAAGTATATTTTTATAGCAAAATTTTGTTATCTAAACTTAAGCTATAATCAATTAAACTGTAATTTAATTGAAATAATTTGAAAAATATTAACTATTATATTAATGTAAATAAGAAATTAATTAAATTTCTATTAATCATACGAAATAAATATTAAGAACTAAGAAATTCTCATAAAGTAAAAAAGTATCTGTATAATATAAATATTTGAATTTCTGTTAATAATATGTTTTAAATTATATCATTTAAATACTAAACTTGTTAATATCTAAAATAGATAATTAATAAAATGATATGTTTATTGAATTAAATAGTTAATACATAATTAAGGATAAATTTTCGCATCACTTACTGTCCATCACTTAAGAGAAGTTTGCAATGAATTGAAGGACCAATTGATGAGAATTATTGAATCGGTGGTCATGTGGTGGTGAGCACTGAGACATTGAAACCAAATGCAAACTACAATTTAGTTGTTTAATCCGTTTTTAGTGATAAATGTAGACAGAAAGTGAAACATTGATACAATGGTTTGGAAAAGCGTAAGAATATTGAATATAATGTGAGCGCATAATAAGGCCTCGAATGAAATGGCCTCAACTCTGGCAGCCCTACCAATGCTTAGCCGGTGCTAAGTCCTGAGCCAACCAGCTTTGAATACATAACTAAACTCAAAGCAAATGCATGTATAGCTCGATCGGTATAAAATCACTTCATTAAAAAAGGCATAAAATTTCTAATAAACTCTAATAATTGTTTTGTTTTGATATTTAAAATATTTTTACCACTTTTCTCGGGCATACTCTTGGCTATAAGTTTTGATTGCAATTGAATTGATAATAAAATGTTCACTTTTGAAAACCTTTAAATATATTCTAATTTCTAATATTGATATTTAAAAGCAATGAAAAATCAAATCAGATACTCGTTATCGAATAGAGTATGAGCTTAAAACACAACTAATATTTAAAATTAAACATTTTGTAAATTTTATTGCATTTTAAGAATTTGTGGCATTTATTTATGGTGTGAATGCTATACTGACATTCAAGTGACCGCCGGGTCGTTATACAAGTTATTGTAAAATTATTAATAATATGACTTAATATAATGTTTACTGAATATACAACTCTTAGCAAATGATCACTTGACCGCATACTCATTGGTGTAAAATGATTTTGAATTTAATTGTATTCGTGTGTAGTATAAAAGTGTTGTTTTAAATATAAATAAAATATTATATATTCAGCGATAAATATAACAAACGCCTGAATTAATGTTAATTCTCTGTGAACTTTGCGTTATTGTATAATAAGATTTAGATTTACTGTTTTGAGACTAAACTCATTTTCACTCTAATGGCTATTATTTAAATAAATGACATCATTATTATATAATTAACATATAATTAATATTATATAAAAAAGTAATTAACTCAATGAATATTTCAAACAGAAATATTATTACGGTCAATTTTCACCTATAAATATACTTTTTTATTATTAAACTATCATCATTTGATATTTTCACTACTTTTTCATATGGTTTTAGTAACTAATATTTAATTACTAAAAAGTATGCAAATCTAAAATAATTATAAACTTCTTTATTTTTAAACTTATTTTTCTTAATAAAGTTATTTTTTTATTTAGTTAGCCTTAAGGGCTATTTAGTGATGAATGTTGACTCCAATCGTGAGAATTATAATGGCAACAAATAATTATTACATATTATGATCAATCTTTAAGAATATCATTATTCAGAAATTAAATATTTTATCAGATTATTAGATAGAGACCATAAACTCTGATTTCATATGACTGTAAATTATATGATAACTGTATTCTCTCTTTCATAACTTATAATCCAAATAATTATATATTTATATTATCTAAAACTCTTTTTAGTATAAATTATCTAGCTTAAAACAATGATATTCTGTATTTCATTGTTTGACTTCACTTTCACTCATTCGTAGAAATGATTTTTGACTTAAATCTAAACTAGAGTTTCATTATCGCATCGCAGGCTTTGGTTGGGAAGTATGAGGTTTAAAGTGTTTAACTGTTTTTGTTTTTGGACTTTTCTAGTTTTTGCACACAATTTCAATGTTAACATTAATTGTCTGCAGAATATCGTAAGATTACAATTTTTAAATCAAATAAATATTTACAGCTCATAATTTTTGAGTATTTTATTGAGTTTTTAATTTTATAAATGAATTAATGAAAGCACTATTAATTAGATATTTTAGTCTATTTTTAATTATTTAATTAATGTTTGAAAATCACACAATTAATGTAATTACACTATTATTATAAATATAATAATAATGAATGAAATGTTATAAACAAAAGATATTTACGGGAAAAAATTATTTGTATATATTTGTACTGTAAATACAACACACCCTCAATACCATTAATAAGGTTTTCTATTTATTTATACACAAGTAAAATGAGTTTCACAAAAGATTAATTGCTTTTACATGGCTTTGCATTTATAAGTAATAAAAGATAGCAATGCATTGCTTACGAGTAAGGCTTATGTTATGCTATTTCATGCTATATCTCGGCTTACGTTAAGAATAATGGCTTAAGAGTTTTGATCGTTAATAACACAAACGCATGCAATTCTAGTTGATCATCGGGTTTAGCACATATAACCGTATTAATCAACCAAACAATCACTTTATAATTACATATTACGATATAGCATATTATTCTAAACAATACACCTAAACATATTTCTCATAAATTGATATCATACTATCCTTCAGTCAACGTATCGCTCAAAATGTAGTTTCAAAATTAGCTTTGCACAACAATAACTTTTCTTGACAAAAAACCCTCAAAAATTACTAAATCTTGATTTAAACGCTATAATGTAATCAAACTATTGTTACGCTATTAATATGAATAATAAATAAAACGAGACTTTTAAGCTATAATTAAATATGAGATGCAGTGTTGTATTTAAAATAAAAAGACTTTTTATGATAAGACCTCCCGCTCTATAAGTGGCTAATTATAACTTCTCAAGAATTAACTTAATGGTTTGATATTATTATTAAATAAATGCATTTAATGATCTGGACATTTCTCAAAAGTGAACGAATCATAAAACTCTCGACATTAGACTCGTTTCTAAAGTCACTATCAGTTTAACTCCTCATTAGGTCTGAAATTTAGTTTTCATTTACATCTGATAAGCAGTGAAACCAAAAGAATGTCTTCAAAATGAAAATGAATTTCTATTTTCTAAATGTTTCTCAAATAAAACACATAAGCAATGAAACCGTATGTGCGGTCAGTTGACTGGAGGTATGTACAGTATTATGCGATAAGAGTTGTACTCAGACTGAACTAAATTATAAAAATATATGTTAAAGCATATTATGACTTATTATTAAGTGATTAGATTTCAATCAAAATAAGCCATTTTAATGGTTTTTACATAATAATTGATACAGTATTTTGATGCAAAAATTAATTAAATGGGAACAAATGAAAATAATTTACATCAAATAATTTATTTATACAACAATTCTACTTATAATTGACACAAATGTTTGTCTAGAGTCGACACAAAGAAATGGTTAATAAATTAATGGCAAATATTGATATAAAATACCACAATTGATATCAAATGGAATTTTCTACAGAGTTTTAAGTTTGGAAATGACATTCAATTCATACAATTATATTGAAATCCAATTTATAGTTTCAATGATTATCATAAAAATTAAAGAAAATGATTTGCATTTTTATGCAGTATTTCAGACAACAGCTAAACTACAATACAGTATCATAATTATAATAAGTGGTTAGTCTTCAAAGGGTTGAGAGACAGACAAATAAGTCATTGAATTTATAATTCATTTGTTTCGATCGGAATTTCTTTGAGAAGTTTTTTTACTTTTCATTCGTCTGTTTTGAAACCATATCTTAACCTGTCTTTCGGTTAGATTGAGATTGCGGGCCAACTCCCAGCGCTTCTGTTTCGACACATAGGCGTTGAATAGGAACTCCTTCTCGAGTTCCAGTGTTTGGAATTTGGAGTACGGCTTCCGCTTCTTTCGCACCGACACGTGATGTCCGGAGTTGTTGTTCGGAGCGCCCGTCCACTCCAACTGAGCGGCGGCCGCGGCATTGGTGGCCAATAGGGCCGCGTGATGGTGGAGCACAGCCGCATGGGCTGCATGCGGGTGGTGGTGATGGTGGTGGTGGTGCACCGCTGCCGCCAACGCGTCACCTGATGTGGACAATCAATTCAGTCTCTATTAATCGCATCAATCTTTGTATTATTATTTGAGTTTAAAACTAAAAGTAATCTAAAAGTAAATCCAAAATCAACACAAGTTTGAGATAATTGCAAAACTAATAATTATTATCACACAAACAGATAATATGTTTTATAGTGAAGTTATGTTGTAATATAATAACAAAAACACTAATGGAAATCAACTGAACCGCTTTTGTCATAAAATATTTTAATGGCATAACTGCAGCCTTTGAAAGGTTTATATTTTTATAAGATATGTGTGAGTGATATGTTTTTGATTGCACTCTCATTGTTTTAATTATATAATTAATTGCTGTGAAAGCAGTTGTTTGCAAGGAATGCTCAAAACAGTGACCGAATTCTGGACTTATATATCACTTAATAAAGAGATATTTGAAGACGAGAAATGCAAGTTGTGGGCTGTCATGAGAAGGGCCCTAAATATCTCCAATTTCGACAATTTATATCACTTATACCACAGGGAGTGAGCATTATTTCAGGTGTTTTTTCAGTACTGTTGGCTAAAAATCTTAATACAATCGCAAACTGCGGCCTAAAGGTCCCACAATACGACTGATCCTATTTTAGGAAACTTTTTGTTGCTTTACAGCTCTGGTCCGCAACTGTTATCTAATTCAATGTTTTATGATATGTGTTGGAGACTAAAAAAGGTATAGTAATTGATGGCAGAGCTCACTATTACAGAGCGGGACTGAACTTACAAAAGGATTTCTCTCTTCTCTTACTATCAAAACAATAAAACAGTAAAAACTGAATTATCAGTCATAGTGTGCATACTATGTGTCTCACTATAAGTGAATGCGTCACTCAGTTATACAATCGCACGGCTATTGCAGAGGAAAATATTCACTTTTAGGACACATACTGTATACTCATATACCGTATAACGAATAACAAGAAAATTCTTTACCATAAAAACAGAGAAAAGAAGTGAAAGAAAAGTCAATTTTAATGTATTCTTCCTTTTGGATGAGTGAAAGCATACAAATACTTGTGATATGAATGGACACAACTGGACGCAAATGTCAAATATTTTACTCGCAATGAAAATGAGAATATATTCAATGAATGAATGATAGAAATTGAATTGAAGTATAAGTAAAGCGCTATAACTAAGGGAACAGTAGTCGGAAAAACAGAGCATTTGCCACAACTTGTGCTAAATATGAGGTTAGTTTCGATAATTGTCAGCATAACAATTGGGATCAATGTATTTGTATAAAATAGTGGCCTAAGTAAGGCCTACTCAGCCCCTACTGCCACATATATTAGCAAAACGATGGTGAGGTCGGACTCAAATTGGGCTCAGGTTTTGTCGTTTTCCCCAAAATCACATATAATAAAGTAAACGTCAAGTCGAGCGTATATAAGCTTATATTTGGCTCATGTATGTCACTCTCTGTTCACATTGTTCCCAATGCATGACTCCAGTGCCAACTGTGCTCCAAATGTGATGCATTGCCACTCACTCTATGCACATAAGCCATACATTCACTCTTATAGTGTGAGCGCGCCTTCAGGTAAGGCATAATGAATGCGAGAAATGTTTTATTCCTTAAGCTTAATGCTAGTATTGGCCGCATATCTATAGATGCAGTTCTTTGCCATTCAATGACATTCACTTGCATTCAATAAATTCAAAATCTACTTCTGTTAGACATTAAATATGAAAGTTGTGGCACCGGTGCTCACATTATTACTTCATTATAGCAGACCATTACTTAAATGTATTTTATATTCTTTGCAATCGACAAATCAAACTATTTTTCATTCATTCATTCAATTGAATATTCGCTCAAATGATTGCATTTTAAACATTAACATTACTTTTTGATAACAAATTGTGTCAATAATTTTGGTGACAAAAAGTATTACCTGTCGGTGTTGTTGGCGGTGGAGCGCCAGCCGATGTCTGATTCCAGGCGCCAACTGCTGAACCACTGCAGGCCTGGTCTGTGGCAACGGTCGGGAAGTTTCTTATGGCTGAATGGTATGAGTCTACGAAAGCAGACCTGTGATCGGTTTCACCGGTAAGGTATGGGTCAGGTCTGGGTGTTTGATGATATGGCGAGTAATTGCACCAGGCAGATGCCGCGGCGGCCACGTGATTGGCCGCCGCGTGGTGTGCGGCGGCCGCAGCGAAAGCACTGCCGTGACAGACGGCCGCCGCCACTATTGAGTCGCTGGGCATCTGAGGCGACGGCCCGTTGACGGCTGAGTCATATGAATTTGACCAGAATTTGGTGGGCGCCGGCTTACAGGGCCGAGTAGTGGAGGCGTCGGGTGTAGTGCTTCCATAGTAGTATGCTGTGGTTGGAGTGGGAGGCGGCGGGTGATGAGTGTGACTGTTATTAGTGGCGCCGACACTCATACAACACGAGGACGAGGAGGACGAGGCGGCCGTTCCGTTGTGTTGGTTTGGATAGGAATCAAAGTCATAGTTATTTGCAGAGGAAGTCCATAGAGGAGTAGTACTACTGATACCGCTGTGTAGTTGCAGTTCTCCTGAACCCGATCTCATCCTTTCAGCCGCCGATGAATTACCTGAAGATGAGGTGACGTGAGTTGAGGCCTGACCTCCGTTCGGCTCAAATGTGTTGAGACTGTCGGGCCGTTTGGAAGAGATGAGAAGTGTTTGGCCGCTATTGTTGTTGTTGTGTTCAGTGGTTTCAAATCCGTTCATAACGGATGGCACTCTTGCAATGGATGACACTATCAAACAGAACCAGAATTACATATCCCAAGACTTGATCACCACAAACACATTCACTTGTTTGCAGTCAATGTGCTGTCTGTCCATCGTTTTGGATATATCAACGAATGGATGAACCGATTGATAAGAATTCATATTAAATGATATTTTAATCCATAAGAAGACCGAAGAGTGAGTGCGGACTGACTGGTCGTTGAGTTCACTCTTGAGATGAGTCTCGCATTCGTTCACTTTCTTTGAATAGTTTTCATGTATTCATGTATTGTATGAATGCTTTGAGCAAAAGCGGTCACAAATGGGAGGGAAGACCTCAGCCATCAGTTTAGGTTTCCATTGGTTCACTCCAGACATACACCACTTATATCACTGGCATCTACTCTATGTATAGGTTGACTCTCCGATGCTTTCAGTGCGAACAAATTCTATCTTATGCTTCAAATGATGCCTTTTTTAGTTTTCTTTTTTTCTTTTCTACTTTTCTAAGTGTTGGCCCAAAGTTTGAGAGAGAGAGAGAGAGAGAGAGAGAGAGAGAGAGAGAAAATTTTTAAGCCAAAGGCTATGATTAGTGTTCAATATATCAGATTGAAATGAACTGAAAGCATGTCTTCTATTTAATTGTAATCATAATTCACTTTTTCAGAGACATTGCAATGAATAGCATTTCAAATAAACAGAATTTCGTACGCCAGTGAATGCCTTGAATTCAATATACAATTAGTATTTAAATATAACTCGAAAATGATATTATGAAATGAGTGCCGAAAAGGCTAAACAGTAATCATTATCATCTTTGAATCGGTTTAAACAGTGTTTGGTTAACACAGACTTAATGCTTAGTTATTAGCGAACGTATCATCAAAATAAACATTCGGATGCTTTATATTAGAGCTCAATGTTATGCCTAATGTTTATAATGAAATTATATGTGAATATATATGTGAACCACAAAATCTTTTTCAAAAGTCACTGAATGCCGACATTCTTCGCAACTAAGACTCCTTTGAATATAATGTCAAAACAGAGATCCAGTCAGTCATTGATGGCCGCAAAGGAAATATATGAACGGATATATGAGTTATCGGTTTAACTATTTGACCATTTTTTAAAAATAAAAAATACATTAAATTTAAAACCATATCCATTTACTAAACATTGAATGATATTGTATAACGCATAGGATTTTGTACTGTAGTATAAGTTTTGAATATTCTATTTGCAACAAATATTTGTCAAATGATTGTACAAAATGTATATAAAATATGTGTTTTATTTGTGGTGTAAGACTCATTGCAAGCAATGGTAAAGTGAACAGAATTTGTTGGGAACTGTAGGGAACTGTAGGGAACAGTTGAGTTGAGTTGAGCTGAGATGAGACCAATTTAGATGTTGGAGATAACAGATGCACAGCACAGGAAACCACTGGCACTGCTGGCACACAACAGCCCCATGGGAACTGTAGGGAACTGTAGGGAACAGTTGAGTTGAGTTGAGCTGAGATGAGACCAATTTAGATGTTGGAGATAACAGATGCACAGCACAGGAAACCACTGGCACTGCTGGCACACAACAGCCCCACCGCATTCACCAGAGGCTCTGCACTCTTATCTCGACTACCAGTTCATGCAATGAATGCATAAATTCATTTCATTCTTCAGATATCCAGTGACTGCCATCTAGTCATCGATGGATTCTTCAAAATACTGTATTCAAGCCCTGGGTTTGACGGTTGCGCTCATACACTGTTCAACACATTTTGCCAATTGATGGGCGATTTCATCCCAAACCCAAACACCAATCGTATGGTTAGAAAGCATTACTTATTTCCTATTGGAGACCAAAACTTATAAAGCATACTATGAACGGCTGCTGCATTATTATGTGGCTTACAATCGATCAATTGAATTATAGCTATACTACTAATCACACCAAATAGGTTTGACACTATCATTCATTTCATTCACTGGTCTCATATGGATATTATATTTTCAAGTATGAGATAAACTTAATTACAAATTATATTATAGTTTATTGTGAATAATTTTAATAACAAATAAACAAAAAGTAATATTCATGAAATTATTTACATAAAAAACTGTAAATACTGTAAATACTAACAAACGGCTTAAATAATATTATAATAATAATTTTATTAACTTCATTATAACAGACTTATATTTAATTCAAATTACGAATAAACATTAAGAATTGAATAAAAATTTAAATTTGTTGTTACATAACAAGGATTGCAATGAAAGTCAATGAAATTGAAGTCTCCGTCAGATTGAAACTTCATTTGAATAATTGTGCGAACATTCCCTCAATTGAAGGCTTGTTTCTAAAGTGTTGCTTTTGGGCACACCTTATGATAACACAATAATTTAAACATTTATTCACCAAAACTCACATTTTATAGTTTTTGAAACAATTATTTTAAAGGTGACCAGTTTTTTATATTGCAGCACCTGGTGATATGGGGTGGTAGCATTAGTATTGGTGGAGAATACTACAAATAACTTAATGAAACAAAGTGTTTTAGATGATATTTTATTTATATATTTTTTAAAATTACAAAATTTAGTTTAATTATTATACAATGTAATTATTATATAATGTCATTATATTGACTATATTTAAATTTAATATTTAAAGATATTTTAAAGTTGTTGTTAAGCATTTGGGTCACCCATGGTCATATCTATTTTAATATAATTTATTTAACTCTTTGTTTAATTAAAAATTAATTTTACATTTATTATTTGTTGTTACTTACGACCAGTTATGAGTTTATAATGTCTTGACTAGCATTTTCTTAAAACTTCAATATAAAAAATTACTATTTTAAAAATATAATATTTGTATCAAAAGTACCTTTAAATTAAAAAGCAATTCATATCATAATTGTCTCATTATAGCCACAGTTTATTCAAAATAAAATTTCTTATTTAGCAATCTTATCTTTAAGACCAATGAAACGATTTTTGAATAAATAACGATTTCGAAAGAATTCTTATATTCAATGCAAACGTTTTTTTATAATTATTTTTATTCAAATATTTTGATACATAAGACAAAGTTTAAAAACAAATAAATTCATAAAATAAAACAAAATTCGAGAGTTTATAAACTTGTTTTCTGTAAATAAACACCGAGTCTAGAAATTAAATAAAATATGAGTAAAATTAAACTAATTTAATAAGATTAGG